GTTTGGAATACACATATGTGTCTGTTTAAACTAAATATCCTTCATGTAGCCAAGGCAAATTCAGATCAGGGCTGTAGCTCTGTGGCAGGGGGAGGTTTTCCAGATTTAAACTAGGCATGCTATTTGTAAAGATGGGCACTCCTGTGCAACCATTTCAAGGGCACCATATTGTGAAATATTGTTCTGTATGTGGTGAGATATTATGTTTGAATGATCTGATGGCAGCCAGATTTCACCGACGGTGTTGTGCGTGGTTCTTCTCCTTCTTCACAATATATACTGTAGGCCTCTGAGCTGTAAGTAGTAAAAGTGTATAAAAGCTTGTGGCAGGCAAATAAACTTTCCTGCATTTTTGTTTCTACTCATTCTCATTCAATTTGATGAAAAAGAATTGACTTCAGAATTTTTTTCAAGGGAGCAGATTTTTTCAGTGAATTTCTCATGAGTGGAATGTGGTGTTTGTGTCTTTATTATAAAGTGCTCAGGATGTGTGAAAATATTATGAATGGTGGTGCACTAATCCAACTGCAGCCACCTTGGTGTAAGAACTAGTTCTCAAATGGTCACAAGCAAACAGCCTGATACCAGATCTGCCCGTTACTAAAATGGGAGAAGTGGAAACTGTCCTTCCCTCCCAAAAGAGAATAGCTTCTAGCCCATTACATCATACTGGTGAGAAAAAGAGATGCAAGAATTTGAACAATAATTTCTCTGTAAATAAGTCTTGTATTTGATACACAGCAGATACTGGGATTCTCTAGTTTTTCTACAGAAAATTTACTTAGCAGAAGTGTTTGAAACCTTGAGGGCTTGTTTATCTGTTTCCAGTCCAGCTTGCTGGGAGAAACCTGCCATTTGGCTTCCCACACTTCCATGAAATCCCAAGGGAAGATATCATGAGGGGAATCCTGCCATGGGGCATTTTCAGTAGCAGTGAAAATGTCACCAGTAAGAGATGTTCGTGCCTTGCGAAGTTGTTTATTTCTTCTGCCTGGAGAAATCACCCACCCCATTTCTCTGCCCACACATTAGATGAAGAATTCTGAAAAACAATTCACGTTCAGTCTTACTTTACCTCAGCTGAGTGTTAGTGTTCCAGCTATTATATTCCCAGTGCTACAACTATCAATAGACTTAGCTAGTTTTCATATTTATTTTACAACATTAATCTAAAATGGTACATATTGGATGCTTTCAAGACAAGCTGCAACTCTTGCAGAGGCTAGAGAACAGGAAGTTGGTAAATGGTACATACCCACTGGACAAGTCATCTTAAACTGCACCTCACAAGCATTATCTCTTGTCTCTGATCTGTAGGTATGAAGAGGAGATAAATCAGCGTAATCAGCTGGAAAATGAGTTTGTGGTGACTAAAAAGGTGAAATGAGTATTGGAGCCTAAAAATTGGTGGGACCTGACCAATTTTTATTACCCCTGACCAATCCAAGACTGCTTTTCTCTCTTTTGCAACTTCCAGCTTACACAACTTTCTTTCTTGAGAAGTTCAAACTGCTCTCAGTCTCAGTTTTCCTTTGCTTTTCCATATTCACCCATTCTCCTTGCTTTGTCTTCTCTTTTTGGGCAATATGACAGAGGGCTGGTTTCTATATGGTATGATGGAAGGGGGACTGTTAAATGTTTTTGTCTCCACACTGTGCATCTTTCTATGAAATAGGAAAAGCGCACACAAGATGGATGGATGGATGGATGGATTGATGGACGGACGGATAGAGTTAACCTGATTTCCACTCTCCTTTAACTTCAGCCAGAGAGAACCAAATGATGTTTACTACAACTATACCTTCTTCCTGCCCACTAGAGAAAATGCATAGATTTGCTCAAGTTTCCAAAACTTTTAAAAACAGTGTTGTTCTACTATATGCAAGATGGCTCATGCTTCCAGACCAAGCTTATCAAATAGAGAAATTTGCTATCTGGAAAAAGTACAGCATTCCCAAAAAGCTGTTGAACCCTTTCAAGCAGCTCAGTGACCTCAGATGCTCCCCTACCCCATTATGATATTGTGACACAGCTTTGCACATCCTCCCCATGTGTCTTTACTGACAAATGATATCCCCAAATTTCCTGAATCACTGCAAAACACACCTGAGTATTGTTGATTTGAAGTACTGGAAGTACTAAATAAGGGATGCACAGTCTTTTTCTTTCTTTTTTTAAGTAACAACTGTACTTGGTATGTATGTAAGTATGTATGTATGTATTTAAAAGATTTGTATGGCCTTTATCTAAAAACACAACTCTGGGCAGCTCACAACCACTATAAAAACCATAAACCATAAAACCAAACCAAAACTCAGTGTCTCATTCGTCTCCTTGGGATGCCCCACAACCAACTCCAGACGTCCTCACTCTACCCCAGCACCTAGGTGAAAAGCCAGGTCTTGATGGCCTTCTGAAAGGCTAAAAGGGTGGGGGCCTGCTGAATTTTGTATGATGTGCTAGGGGCCACCATGAAAAAGATGGATAGGGCCAAGAGAAGAACTAAATTTGACTTAATTAAATATGACTGTAATTAAAATTAAATTAATTAAATTACATACCATTATTTTGATTACTCCCAATGTCCATTTAATAATTTTCCCCTTCAGTCACATTAAATATTATGATTTGGCGGCAAATTAGAGGCTCATCAAAAGGTTTGAGGTCATATATTTGGCCCTGTATTAACTTAGTTGCTTAAGATGGGCAGCCATAGAAATCTTTTAAATAAACAACTCAAAAATTGGAAACTTCCACCTCATACAATACTTAGTGAGATTCAAGGAATATGACAAGTATCCAGAGGAGAATCCTGCTGTCTGCTTTTCTACTCTGGCAGGACCTGGATGATATTTACTTGCAGAAAGTAGATGTTGAATCCAAGCTAGAGAGCATCACGAATGAAATCAAATACCTTAAGCAGCTTTTTGAAGAGGTGAGTACCAGAGACAAAAATGAATGAATTACTGATGTATTTGTTATAGTTGATGAAAATGAGCAGGTACGTTATTTTTCTCTCATTTTCACTTCTTTCCTAGTAGCTCCTTGCAAGAGCGCTGAGGAAAGAACAGATAATGCAGTGGCTGGGATCAAGTTCTGCCCCATGATTAAGCCTCCCCCACCCCCAGATGGACTACAATGTTATCTACAACTCATTATGCTTTTCCTGCCCCTATCCAGGAGATCAGAGAATTGGAATCTCAAATCCAAAATGCGATGGTCACTGTGGCGATGGACAACAACCGGGAACTGGAGATGAAGCACATCATCGATGAGGTGAAAGAACAGTACAAGACCATGACTACCAAGAGTCGTGATGAGGCTGAACAGTGGTACAAAAGCAAGGTAACTGGTTCACTTTTATCTGCCTGCGTCCACATCATGGAAGCATAGTGTGAGATGGGCGGCTATATAAATATGATTGGGAGATAGATAGATTAGATAGATAGATAGATAGATAGATAGATAGATAGATAGATAGATAGATAGATAGATAGATAGATAGATAGATAGATAGATAATCCATACAGATGCAAGCACTGGTAATGGATGATCTTATTTTGCTACCTCTTTAATATTAAACTGAGAAATCCAGCTTGCCAATACGAACTGTTACCAGATTAAAGCAATCTAATTTCAGATCCAAATAAACAGAACAATCAGATTCTAGAAACAAGGAAAAGAATCTGGCATTGTTTTGCAACTCAGTGGAATCTAGGAAAATATTTTAAGGATTTGCAAGTCCATCAGAGGACTGTTTCAACTAAACTGCTGTAATCCTCTAGGTAAGGCCTGACCAATGTCTGAATTTTCAGGATAACTGTCATTCCAATAATAATTTCAGAGCCAGTAGTGCAGCGTGGTCTGATCTTTTCACTGACAGTTAGGCCTCACCTAGCTGTAATAATGAAGCATACATGTTTACATGTTTTTGAACCTGGTTGAAGTATTATGACTTGGACCCAATCTTTTGCACTACCAGAAAGGACTTCAGCTCATGCAGAAAACTTCTCTGACTTCTAATTATGCCTTCCATGCTCCTAGATTTTATCCAATGTTTGTTCTAGAAGGAGTCTAGTGTATGATGTCCAGCATATCTAGAAGATATGAGGGTGGGAAACCTGCCCACACGTTTGGACAGAGTCCTAGTATTCTTGTTACGGAGCCTGCATCTTACTCATCTGAATATACTATCATAGTGATTCCTGTTTACCCCTCTGTTCCCTTTCAGATTGATGACATTGTAAGGCAAAATCAGAAGCATAAAGATGAGATGAAAAACATCAAGGGTCAGATTGCTGAGCTGACTCGCGATGCCCAGCATATCAATGGAGAAATTGAGGCCTTAAAGAATCAGGTAAGCTGCCAGCCTCTGGACAGAATCACAAGTCTTAACCCAAAACATTCATAAAAACAGAGAACACACAATGCTGGGGGGAAATGCCACAGAGACTCTACCTACAATCCATTCTGTGAAGCCTAACTTTTCCAGTCAATTGTTCATTTTGCTCTCTTTCGTAACTATTTTCATGTCTAGTTTTAATTTGTCCAGCTGCAAGTGTCCTCTCCTTCTCTGAAATAAAACACAAGAGGGCACAATGTTTTATGAGAAGGACAGGCTTCTCAAAACCACCAGCTGTAAGTTTTCCTCTACTCCATTAACACCACTAGATGAATCCTGTGGTCAGGATGCCAGCGCATCATTCCAAAGGTCTTCAACCCAAAAACTTAGCTGGGCTCATAAATTGTGCTGAGCTGTGGTGTGGTTTGTCTAGTTTGGAGTAGGGATAGGGGTGCACAACCTCTGTCCCTCCAAAGTCTTGGGTGCAGTCCACCTCAGCTGTGGAAACTTGCTGAGTGATTCTGAGCCCAGTACTACAGGGTTGTTAGGAAGATAAAATGATCCTTGTGTAATATCCCTGGAAGAAGATATAAAGATATATAGAGATATATAACGCAAACAAATTACCATTCTCCTCTAACAGTTGTTACCAATAATATTTGCTAATGTGACAAAGGCAAAAAGTAGTAAATCAGTTGGAAGCAATCATTGGTCCCATTGCTTTTTGGAAGGGAACCATGGCCATGCCATTCAAAGACCAAGTATAACCCTCAGCCTGAAAAAAGCTGCACAACTTTGGGTTCAACACAATGTCTGAGCCCAGTACTGGCTTCTCTTCTTGGCTGACTTCTAGCTGCTTCCTACATTGGGAAGTTATTTCACTTGGAACTTCTTCGCACTCTTCTTGGCCACCCACAATAACTTTGCAAACTGGAAGGCAAGCAGCTGTAGCTCAAAATAGGCAACGTATTTCCCATCATACTTAAAGAGAGAGGCTTTGCTTCTGAGCCCTTGCTGCCTCTTCTTAGCTGCTGGACTCTCCATAAGGCTTCCCATCCAGATAGTGGAAACAGAAATGTTCCTCTTTCCTCCTGCCCAGCGAGCCAATCTAGAAAATGCTGTGGCCTCAGCTGAAGAACAAGGGGAGCAGGCTCTGCAAAGTGCCAAGAGTACTGCCCAAGACCTGGAGGAGGCACTGAAGCAAGCCAAACTTGACATGGCCACCAAGACAAAAGAATACCTAGATCTGATGCACCTCAAACTGGCCTTTGATATAGAAATTGCCACCTACAGAAAGCTGCTGGAAGGAGAAGAATACCGGTAAGCAAGAGTCAGCTTGGACTTCCTGTGCACGGGTGCCGGATGTGTATGAATTGGTTCCTCTGCACTTGACCACCCAGAGCAACCTTCTCCAGCCTAGGGCTCTCCCAAAAGGTTGGATGTCAGCTCCCAGAATTCCTAATTGGGTAGTGCTGGAGGATAACAGTTTGAGGTCAGTTGATCTAAGAAAACAGGGAAGGACAACTTCTATGGGTGGGAAGCTGCTTTGCATGGCCTTTTGATGCTGTCATCTGCCAGCTTGCAAATATATGAACATAATGATTAGAATAGCCAGAAACAGGAAAAAGTGCACTGCAGGAAGATAATCAGGTCACGAGGGGCTTGAATCCTTCAGGAACAGATAGCAGAAACACACCTGTGAGTCAAGATTCTCACTGTCATTTAGGATAGGACAACATGAGCATCTTAGGAAAGCATATTTTAATACAGCTCTCCAAGGTTTCAGGCAGATTCTCCCAGCCCTGCTTGGATGTTCCCAGAACTGACATAGGATCTTTTGCACATGCTATACCAGTAAGCTGTGGCTCTTCCTCCAAAAGAAGCAGTGTTGTCTTTCGCACACTTTCCAAACTCATGAACATGCTTTTTTCTTTCCCCAGGATGGTTGGTCAGGTTCCAACACAACAGGCCAGTGCCATTAACAAGTTAGGTAAGCAGTCTTCCTGTTCTGATGGGTGGAGGTGATCAAGCATCTCTATTTTATTGACCTTTCTCCATCTGAGGTTTTTGGTAATGTGATAGCTTTACTCTTCTCAGTTCTCCCCAAATGTTTTGCAGTATCCTGATTCTCCCCATCTGGGTATTTGGGTCATATCCTGAAAAAAGCTGAAACAAATCGAGGCCAACAGTTACCTAAAATCCTCCTTTGTCACTCTTGACATTCCATATTCCTGCACTTTAAATTATTTGTTAGATAGTGGTATCACTTATGCTATAATGATATTTAATTTTCAAGTTCAAAAGCTGATGTGCAATGAGGTTACCACTAGTGATAAATGATAAATAGTGGTAGTAGTTAAATATTAAACTTTCAAACAGATCTCAACATTTGTGCTTGTTGTATAACTCTTGCACACTGTGGAGGATTATCTGGGGACTATTCTACATACATAAGCATCACCATTATCTACTGGGAAATTGTTCTTTACCTATACAGTACATTGTAGAAAAATATCTGCTGTGTTGGGCAACATGATTTTGGGAGACATTTATTGATTATTATTTCATTGAAGAACTGCCGTTAAATTTTTAAGACAGCTCTGGATTTCCTAAAACGTAGTTGGAAAACCACTGCTATATATTGATGGCAAACATACAGTTGCATTTAATGGGTGACATGTAAGGTTATTTAGAACCTGACAGAGAACATGCAATGGGAAATAGTATTTAACAGTGGATATTTGAAATCAGCCAACATCAAAACAAATAGGAGATGCAAACAAATGTAAAGTATGTGAATTTTGAATTTTAACAGTCTGAATTCAAAGTTTGAAGTTGCAGGTTTCATCCAAAGACTGCATGGGAAATTAATCCAATACAGAATTATAAGTATTTGCTCCAGCTCTGAATCTGACTTGGTGCGTTATTTCCACGGAATTAGGGACAATAGAACTGCCAGCCACGTAGCCATGTGTTGCTAAAAGAAAGGTCCATGGGTGAACCCAAGGCCTTCCTTGTAGTATTCTTTGCTGCTGCTTCACACTACATGCAGTTACCCTTGAAGCATTCATCTAAGGATTGGCAGAAGTGTGTAAAATAATCCTTAAATCTAATTCATCTTCTTATCTTTTGATTGTTGAATAATGCTATCTTCTCTGCATTGCCCATTTGAGATAATGGAACAGAACTCTAGATTCTTCTGTGAGCCTTGTAGAGTATCCATGTTTCATGAATCAATGTTTGATTAAATATTTCTCAGTCTGATGTGATTTGCCTGCATTTGACTTTCTCTGTCAAAACCAGCTTTCTCCAGCAAGTCACCCAGCAGATATATTGGAAAACAACTCCCATCAATGCCAGCCAATTAACATAGTTTAGGATTATGAGAGATGAAGCCCAACACATTTGAAGGACAGCAGGATGGAGAAGGAAACTTTAAGCAAGCTCTTGTTTCTTGGTTAAATTTGCCTGCTGACTTGCTTGCATGGGTCCTCTGGTCTCCTCTTTTGCCAAATTACTCTGGAGAGCCAATCAGAAACTTCTTCATTAAGGTCTTCTTCCTCCTGTGATCTGATTCTTAAATCCATCCATTGCTTCTGCAGCTGGACTCCTGACTCAGGGAACAGCACTTCCCTCTCACACTGGGGCTGCAGGGACTTCGGTCACCACCAGCAGCTCACTGAAGAGGCCTTTGATGATCAAGACCATTGAGACCAAGGATGGGAAGATCATTTCAGAGGCCAGTCATTTTTCAGCGAAGTAACTGTAGTAGAAGCAGCAAAAAGTCGATGTATCTTCAAGACTTAAAAATAAATGATTGTTTTTATAGTCTCTAATGATAACCTACTTCATATACCTCCATATTTTCTCCCTTGCAGTGCTATTTCTTTTTCAAGCTACAATGGCTGAATTTTACCTTGCCAATAAAGTGGTGCAGATAATATGTTCTATGTACCAATTCCTATTAAAGCTCCTGAAAAATGTGTTGCTGGTATCAGTTTCTTGCATGAGTTCTGTCAGCAGCTCTATGCACATCTAGGGCCTGTCTTTTTTTCGTAGCTTGTATCATATTCTCTGCTTGTGCTGAGGCAGGAAGTTTTGATTTTTCTAGGTGGGACATACACAAAGAATTGTGCCAAAGGTACAAATTCTCAGATTATAGGGGGAGTGGAGATTTCAAGTTAAGGAGATCATTTCTGCCACAGTTAGAAGTCTGGAGGATATACCAGGAAGTAGCTGAAGGAGAAAAATACACAGCTGTGTGTGGCTGTACAGCATTCCTTCTGCTACAACTCAGACATCTACTGTTCTAAAGCATTTCCTATGTCTCTTTGCCATACTTAACTGCAGTCTCTCCCAATCTGCTCCTTAACATCCTTGTTCAGACTTGGGGGGCAGGGGGAAGAGGAATATATGACACCAAATGAAGCAAGGATGTGGCCGGAGGGGAAAATCATTGACTTTCCTTGCTGTATTGCAAGAAATTACTTCCTGCTGAAAGAAGTGCTTTGCAATGTTCTCTTATTATATAATAAATATACAAGTTGATATATAATTGTTACAACTTGGGAGGGGAGTTATTTAAACATTTTTTCTAAGGTAAATCCTGGTAAACGATAATTATAGTAAGCAGCCATCAGTCAGGGTGACTGTCCTGCCACCTCTTAGTCCAACTGGAAGAAAAGTGTTTTGGATCTTCCAGGTCAAACCCCAGAAATATAGAACTAAACCAGCCTTGGGTCAAGCAGCGGCTGGGTAACCATGCACTCTTGTATGTAAAACCAGTGAAGCCAACTCTCTAGATGTAAAAATGAATTTATTGGGGAAAGAGAAATGTACAGAAAACAAGGGAAGGCAATAATCACATAAACACAGAATTTCAAACAAATCAGCCCAGATAAACTAATTGCTTACTGCCTCCTTGAATAAGCTTTTGGCTTTTATGATACGCTCAATCCATCTTTGGAGAAGGTTGATCTGGGCTTCCTGCTTGGCTGATCTGAGGTAGTAGTATTCCTATTTCTTTCTGACCATTGATCAATTTAATTCCTGCCACATCTGGGTGAATGAATTAGACAACAAAAACCAGTGCCAGAGATTTGGGAAAGCTGCTGTCTCACAAAGTGGAGGATGCTGAGTGACTATATAGACCAGTGTTTTTCAGCCTCAGCAACTTTAAGATGTGTGGACTCCAGCATGCTGGCTGGAGAATTCTGGAAATTGAAGTCCACACAAAGTTGCTGAAGTTGAGAAACACTGAAATACACTAACATACTATAAGGTGGTTTTTTGATGTTCATGTCCAGGAAATGTTGCTGTTTCATCTACAGATGCAACTTCCTCGGCAGATTTTTTGTTTGCTTGCTTCTTAGTGGGTATGAACACGAGCCTTCATTTCCAAACCAAAAGTTAAGATATTTCTATGTTATACATTTCTGTTAATGTTAAAAGGTCATAGTTTCTTCCAAGAACCTGGGAATTGTTTGTGTGTGTAGATGCATGAGAGAGAAAGAGGGAGGGAGGGAGGGAAGGAAGGAAGGAAGGAAGGAAAGATAAGGGAGATTGCAGGAATTATACTGCACATGCCTAAGCATTCTTATGGAACAATAGATCCCAGAGTTTTGTGGAGAGACAATGGTAGTTAAAATACTTACAGCCTGTCTGTGTCTATCCCCTCAATTTGTAAAAAGGTCGAAAAGGGCTAAGTGCTCAGGAGACTGACTTCATAGTGCAATACTTTCTATGAAAACTGGCATGAGAGTAAAAGATGAGGGACCCTGAACCCATCCCCATTTTGTGGAAATACAACTTCCAGCATTCCTCATGCCACCTGGGCCTGCTGGGACTTGTAGTTCTGTAACAACTGGAGGTCCATAACTTTTCCCTCCCTATTTTAAGGAGTGTGGTACTTAAGTTTTTATGTCTTTCATGTCAGTCCTGAGATTGGCAAAGCAGAGCAGAGCAAATGAGAGACAGCGAAATTCTTCTTGTAACAGCAACTACGATTGGGTGGTGAAGGCTGAAAGTTTGTAAGGCTTTCCACCCTGCTTATGGTGATTTAGTGGTTATTTTAGAGCCAGGAAAAGAGCTCTTCCTTGGATAGTTGAAAGATGCTGAATTGTTCTATCCAATCCTGGATAACTAGGATGTTAGCTGTCCACTTATGTCACTTCAAAAAGGGACTAGCCAATACTTCAGGATAGTTTAAGAAATGAAAGTCATTATTTGCCCTTAAAAGGCTAACTGGTCCTTTGGCATGGGAAGTGTGGCATTACGTAAGCTTTTGAGGGACGCTATCCACAAAATGAGAAGAACGAACATCAGTCTACGTTTAAAATGTTCACAAACATTCAAGTGGGGATGAAAATGGAAGATAAGATAAACCTATCTTAGGGTGCTGCCTTTTTAACAATATACAAACTTCCACGTTTTTTTCACATATCTTCCTCTGACAAGTTATATTTAGTCTTTTCAAAACAGCTCAAGAAATTGCTTTATCCTCAGTCAGAGCAAAGATGTGTTTAACACAGTGTTTTTTACTGTTCAGGGGTTTTCCTGCTGTGACCTGAACTTGGACCATCTGGATTCAAAGCAGATGTTTTCCTATTGAGCTGTGTCTATGAAGAAAGTTGAGGGAGAAAGAAGAATCTATGCTAGTACTGAAGTCACAGAACTGGCATAAATGAACATTTAAATGAAATGCGGGAGAAGAGTCAGTCAACAGCCAGATTTGGCTCCCCCTTTGTTCACATGTTTAGATTGCATACAGAACTGTCCATGTGATGGCTGGGAGGAAGAATCAGACAATGATTTTGGAAAATATAAAATTCAGTAGAATTCATACTTGCCTTTATCCTTAAGCAAAACACACTGGTTCCTTAACAGAAAACACAAACAAGGGAACTAGACAATTGTTACAGTAAATAAACTAGAGGTAATTTAAATATCTTTAAAACATTGATTTGAA